TTATCTGTAGTAGTTACCTGTTGGTACATAACAAATTCCCCCAATTTTTGATTAGTTAACCAGTAAGCATTAATTAACTCAATTTCTCTGTGAAAGAAACTCAGGACAAGGTTGGCTAGATAGTTCTGAGCCAGGTAGGGCATGAGATTACAATCAAGATGTTGTACAAGCCACCTATCTCCTGAGTGGGGCTGGGGAGGATCCACTTCTTGAATAGCTAACTCACCAGCTTCACCACCAGTCAGAGGCTTCCAGTCCTCCTCACAGAGATCACCCTACATCCTTACAACATGGTTGCTCACTTCTCCACAAGATTTCCCATGACACATCTCCTTCCCAAAGAAGAATAAAGAAAAAAGACAAGTTTTTTGTGGGCAGACCCAGGAATGGACATACACCATCCAACAATAGCCAGCCCTAACACTGTGGGAAAGAACTACACAAGACATGAGATGCCCACTGAGGGATTCTTGGAGGTCATCTTCCATACAGCTTCTTCTTCACAGGTCTAATTTCCAGATCTTTGGGTCCCGGCATAAAGTATGTTAACACAAAGGAAACTCAGAACATTTCAGACACAGGCTGTTTGTAGTTCAAGTGATCCTCTGCTTTGATAGGACACAGGAACTGGAGGAAGCAAGTGTCTGAGTCGCCTTCACCTCCTGTCAGGAATCCAGAGCCTTATGGTGGTTTCAATGAGAATGGTTCAATATGCTCATATGTTTGCAACACTTGGTCCCAAGTAGGTGGAACTGTTTGGAAAGGATTAGGAAGTATGACCTTGTTGGAGGAGGTGTGTCACTGAGGGAAAGCTATGAGGTTTCAAAGGCCCATGCTGAGACCCATTCCCAACCCCCACCAGCTACAACACTCGGGAAATCAGGCCCTGCACCTCACCAGAGCAGCACAATAGAGCCAGCCCTGCTACTGCAGGTGTGGAGAGCCAGCCCTGAAGTTGTAATCATGAGAGAGTTGTTTCCATTTCACATCTGGAAGACCAACCCTACAGTTGCCCAGGCCCACACCCAAAGGTATGACTTGGCCTGCCATGTCATTCATCCAATCTATGATCTGCTGGAGCACGTGAAGGGACCTGACCCACACGAGATGTGAGCTCTCAGCTGCACTCCAGTGCTATGCCTGCATGTCCACCTGCCTGTTACCATGCTCCTCAATATAACAGTAATGAACTCTGACCCTCTGGAACCACTGTAAGCCCCAAATTAAACTTCTTATTTTATAAGTTATCTTTGTCATGCTATCTTAGCATGGCAATAGAAAATTAACTAAGACAGTCACACACTCACACACACACACACACACACACACACACACACAAGAATTAAGTCAAAAATCATTATCAACTAGAGGAGGGGTAGTTGGGACATGCTAAATCCATTCCATTCATCTTATGAAAGGGCAGAGAACAAAATGTAAAATAGAGAGCCTGTCTTTAGAAACTTCTAGTGGTTCCAATCCAAGCTCCCCCACTACCACCGCCAACTTCTTTCATGCTTGTTATTTTTATTACGCAATTAGCTTTGACTATATATTATCTGATTGTCAGATAATGACAATTGCTTTGGTGAGCAGTTTAGTACTTATTATATATTCTGGGAATAATTATATCTGTGTCTAAATCCCCCCAAGTATGTCATAAATTCCTTGAAGTAGGAAAATTACTAAAGCTTATTGCTCCCCAAAAACACATCCCTCAGCACACATCCATGTACTGTACTACCAAAACACATACAACGGGGACTGTGCCCATAACGACCAAGAAATATGGCCCTTTTACAAAAATAGTAATTAAATGGAGAATCTCATTCTTAAGGGAGAGACAGGAAAAGGACATCTGCAAGACAGAGACCCCTCACCCCGCAAAAGAGGGAGGTGAGAGGGTGACAGGGGATGGGTGTGGCCACAGTGCTTTGTATGAAACTGTCAAAAAGAATAGTTATAAAAGAAATTGCTTTAAGCCTCTTGGGAAAATAAAAGCATAAACTCAAAAAATAGTCAAATTAATAAGGAAAAATGTTCTTTATCTACTTTAATTGGTGGTTGTGTGAATATATGCATGTGTAAAAATTCTCTGAAGTGCATATACGTGGCATGTTTTAGTGTGTGAATTAGATTGCAATAAAAAGATGAAGTTTTAAAAGAAGTTGTACATAAAATCCAGCACAGTCCTCCCGCAATTAAGGAATCCACAAACACCCCCGGAGACTCAGTGTCTTGGAGTATATCTTGCCAATGCATTCTGTTTATTTTTTCCATCCATTTACTTAACATTTTGAACACCATAATCAGGCTCCAATTAAAATGAAAATATTCAGCAAATCAGTCCTGGTACCAATGAAACCAGGAAACCCGGCTCAACAAAGTAACTCCACAGTGGGAGTGAGAATATGCAGAGCCTAAGTCCTCCTGAGGTCCAGATAACTTCACTCTAATCAGAGTGAAGGATTCTGTCGGTGTTGTGTAAAGGGCTGACTTGGTTAGTTAGTTGCAGGGGACCTAGTCAGAACTCTGGGAGAGGCTTTTCTTACAGAAACACTCAGGCAAGACAGAAAATTAAATGAGACCCCTGGCATTGGAACACAGCTGAGACAGGGACCCTGAGCCCTTCCCTCCCTGGAAGGAGAGACTGATGAGCAGGCAAAGGAGAGGAATGTTTAGGGAGCCAACTGGCCTTCCCATCGGAAAACCTGGGTGGGAATGAGGAAGGTCTTTTTAGCCTTGCAGAGACTCATGGGAGAGAGCACACTGCCATTAGCCTTGCAGAGATTCACAGGAGAGCACACTGTCAGCAGTTCAGGGGCTGGAGAGAAGAAACAGTCTCCCCAACAACTCTTCCCACTGGAGAAGACAGGCTTGGAGCTCAATAGCAAGGAGATAAGGGATGGGCACAGAATGCAAAGAGATAAGGGATGGGCATGAAGATGTGTGGGAAGTTCTTCCCTGACCAGTGGAAGGAACAGGAAAGAGAAGGCAAGGACCCGAGAAGTGATGCCCTCAAGGGCAGTTTGTGGACGTGTCACTTCCAGAGGCAGCAAAGCCCGATACCCTGAAGAACGTCAACTAAGAGAAGTGGGGTGACCAGGTGGCTCACAGGCTGCACAACTCAGGAGGGAAACTGGCCAGCTAGGGCATGGAGAACTCTGGGGCAGTACCAGCCAAGAAGTCTTTCCTCGGGACTCTAATGGAGTGGGAGATCTGGCGGCTCCCAACGCCTGAGAGACCAATTGTCTGCATAGGCTGTCCACTTTGGGGAAGAAGAAATCCTCACGTTTTGTTGAAGCCATAGGGACAGAGGTGTCACAGGCAGGAATGAAGACATTCTAGACACTTGTGTCCCTCTAATGCTGAAACAAGGACTCCAACATTCTGGAATTTCCCCAGGCGTCTCATGCTGGGGTAGGGAAAGGCTGGCAACCTAATGTCTGCTAGATGGGGGACTTGTCTCCCAGAAAGATTTCTTGCCAAGTTCTGACAACTTATCTCCCTGTATAAGAGACAAAAGCAGAGGCTACAGTGATGGGCAGGACCACACCTTGTCCAGGAATGCTCAGGTATGCATGACACCAGGACCCCAGAGGTAGACTTGGGGGAGGGGACCAGATCTCTTTTTCCCCCTCTTACTAATGCAGCGCACTGAATCAGCCTCCGCCTGCTTCCACTATCAACCTGTCTATTTAATGTAATTATTTATTTGAGGAGAAGCAGTCACGGTTGGCTTGTCATGACTGCCAAGGCCCAGGGTCTCACCCTAACGACTCTAGAAGCAAAGGAGGGAAGAGCATCTTCATGGCCAGATGCTGCGGGCTGAGGTCAATGTGTCCTTGGCCAGGCTGACCAACTTCTCTAGGTCTCAGATTGCTGGAGTACAAAAAGAATAGAAAAATAGCGTCCACATTTGGTTACTGAAGAAAGCATACCATACAGACAGGGCCCAGTACAGGGTTAACACAATAACTCCCACAATTACCTGCCGTCAGATTCGCCGGTGCTTGGTTCAAAAGACAACACACACTGCTGTGAGCCTAGGGGAGACGCGGCTCAAGACAGAGGTCTGCACACACACCCCCAAGAGCAACACTGACAAACCCTGCCTGACCTCGGCTAGAGTGGCTGAGGGAGCAGGACCTTATAAGGAGATGTCTGAACTGAAAATAAAATTAAGAAAATTACTCGGGGGTTTTAAACAAGGCCGTGTTTGAAAGGGTGCAAGGGCAGGTGTGTGGCCAGAATGGCATTTCCTGTTTGACTGTAGGGAAGCATTGTGCTGTTGAAGATTCTAGAGAACCTTATATCCTCCTGGGTGCCTCAGTTTTCTCGTCTCTGAAATGGGGTTGCTTTGGCCATCTATCTTGTGACAATTCATTAACATATTAAAAGTGCTTGCACAAGTACATACCACGAAGCAAATGCTCAGTTATTGCTAGCTCTTATGATATTGACTGTAATTACCATATGCCGATTCAAGTTGCCACATGTCAGCCCTCCCCCCCCCCACCGCCACGCCCAAAATAACAGTCCCAGCAATAGGAAAACGAAAACAATAGCCCTGGACATAGTAATTCCCTCGTACTACAAGAACTCAAGAGGACATCAACAATGACTGCTTAGTCAATTAAAGTGATTACCCACCCACTTAGTGGGTAGTGCCCAGGCGGAAGTAGTTTTGTCACCTATTTAAACCCTTGTGCATAAACAGTGGCGATTATGCCCTGAAGAGAGACAGGGGCAGCTGGCCCACGGTGCAGTAACTGCAGCACACCACCAGGGAGCAGCAGAGCCCGGCCCTAGGCTGTTTTATCTCCAGGAGCAATTAATTTGTCCCAGGTTTCCTTCGTGCATCTGCTCCCAGCTGCAAAGATCGAGCTTGTTGTTGCCCCACAGGGCCCGGCTCCCGACCGCAGAGCTCCTGCTAGACTAGGAGCAGGCTTAGCCCCGCCCCCACTGCTCAGCCAACCCAGGGCGGAGGGGAGCGTCACAGGGGCGGGCCCAAGGGACCACGTGGCCGGGGGCAAGTGCAGAGCGGGGACCAGAAGCCAGCCCCAGGGGGTGACCAGGTCGCAAAGGCGGAATAGCAAAGGTCAGCCTAACCCTGAGTACCCTTCCCCTGCGATGGGCGTGCAGCCCCCCAACTTCTCCTGGGTGCTCCCGGGCCGGCTAGCCGGGCTGGCGCTGCCGCGGCTCCCTGCGCACTACCAGTTCCTGCTGGACCTGGGCGTGAGGCACCTGGTGTCCCTGACGGAGCGCGGACCCCCTCACAGCGACAGCTGTCCGGGCCTCACGCTGCACCGGCTGCGCATCCCTGACTTCTGCCCGCCGGCCTCGGAACAGATCGACCAATTTGTGAAGATCGTGGACGAGGCCAACGCCAAGGGAGAGGTCAGCGAGTGTGAGCCAAAGTGAGGGTGGGGCCTGGAAGGAACTGAGTGAGCGGGGCCTGGCGGGAGGGTGGAGTCAGAAGGGGGAAAAGGAGAAGCTGTGGGCGGGGCGAGGGTGGGCGGGGCGGGGCCAGGTGGGGCAGGGCTGGGCTGGAGTTAGATGGAACCCACCCACTGACCAGAGACAACTATGTGGCTAGAAGAGAGGGAAGGTGATGCCAGGATTCTGGTCATTTTCTAAAGGACCAAATGTCATGGAGACACACTTATAATTTTAAATTTTACTAGCAGCTACGTTTAAAAAAAAATGAAAAGAAGCAGATGGAGTTAATTTTTGCTACTAATCCAATAAGTCAAAAATATTATTTCAACATAGACTCGATATGAAATAAGTTATTAATTAATAAGGCATTTCCAGTCTTCTGCACATGTCACATCTTCAGAGCCTGGTAAATATTTTACACCCCATCTCAGTTTGGACTGACACATTTTAGGTAAAAAATACCGCCACAGGTGGCTGGATGTTCTGTACCGGACAGCACAGATAGAAAGGGCAAGCGATGCAGGCTGAGAGCCCAACTTGCAAGCCAGCCACTTCAGAGGCCTCCTAGTCACCCAGACGCAAGGACAGTCCTCAACAGCTTTTTGGGGGAAGAACGATACCTTTCAGTGGGGACAGGAGACTGTGAGGGAGGGCACTGGACTCCATGAATTTCCTCTTGACAGGCTGTTGGAGTGCACTGCGCCCTGGGCTTTGGCCGCACTGGCACCATGCTGGCCTGCTACCTGGTGAAGGAGCGGGGCTTGGCTGCAGGAGATGCTATCGCTGAGATTCGGCGCCTGCGGCCAGGATCCATTGAGACCTATGAACAAGAGAAAGCCGTTTTTCAGTTCTACCAGCGCACAAAATAAGAGACTCACCCGCTCTCCTGCTGCAGATGGGAAATGTGGCCAGGGAGGAAGGGAAGTGGGCTAAAGTACCTGCATCCTTCAGCTCCCTTTGCCTCCCGCTGGACAGAAGTAGTCTTTCCCCGAAGCCATAACCTGATTGACAGAGTGGCTGAGACCCCATGAATATGAGTTAATATCTAATAAGAACTCACTTACGCTGCATAGAATTTACATAGCACTCCCAATACATCAACTCCACGTAGCCCTGGGTCATAGAAAATATAAAAACTGTTTCTGTTCTTTGGATGGCGTGACTAGAGCTCAGAAAGGCTTATGGTCACGATTCTGGAAAATAGAAGTATGGGCCAGGACTGCAACACATACCTTTGTCTCCTTGAAGATGCTGACATTCTAGGTGCTGACCCCTGGTCTTAGGGTTTCTGGAGAACTGGTCAATGAAAGAGAGCTCCCAGTCTACGGCCACCCAGCTTCCAGCAGTCTCAGGGCTCTACACTCCCACACCAGGAGTGCCCTTGTTGATATCACCTTTGTTCTCTCAGGGTACAGAAGACTTGGATGTCACAAATCTCCTTCCACGTTCCCTCCTTCCCCGTCTCCCCCCAGAGCTGGCCACTCTTACCGGCCTTAGATACACTCGGTTCATCTGTTACCTCCGGCCCCTGTGTCATCCCCAACCTCAGGCCCAGGAATGGCGGAACTGCATCTTGGTGGTTATACGAAGTGGATATTAAATAATCAAATAAATAGCTCCGAGGCTATGACTTTTGGCTGTCTGTCCCAGGTTAGCACCACACTTGGGGCTCTCTGAGAGATGCGGTGAACATCATACATGAGCCCAGTGGACTCTTGTATAATGTCAGTCTGAACTCTTGCCCCATCTTCTGCCATACAGGCTGAGCTGAACGAGGGAAATTCACCCTGAGATACACCTGGAGTGCCTGTGTGAACTCGGTGTGCCTGTTAGAGGAGAAGTGACTCAGCAAAGCGAGACATGTTCCTATTCTCAGGGGCCTGGCCTTTCTGGAGAAGATGGGTAATGACAGTCCATTCCCACATGATGGACACTAAAGGCCGTCTCTGCTATTCCAAGCACAGGACAGAGTAGGCAAGAGTTCCCCTATAGCCTCCATCTCTTGCATCGAAGGCCAGAGCTGTGCCTCTGCCATCCCCTCCCCAGGACTTCTTTCCCCATCCTCTGCTGCCCCTAACTGCACATTATCCAGCTCACCCTTACCCAAAAGGCTTAGTTAAGCTAGAGATGTAAGCTGCACTCACCCAGAATCCTTTCTGTATCTAATGTGGGGAATCCACTCCTTAACTATTTCCCTGGATTCTATCTAGCCCTCCCAGGGAAAATAAATCAGCCAAAGAGAAGAAACTCAAAAGTTCCAGGCATTCAGCCTGTGATGGAGGAAAAAGGAAGGCCTTCCTTTTAGTGGCCTTCTCCCACCAAAAGCGCCACCCACCACACACAGGGAGTGTGCATGTCTATGTAACGTTTTCCTGAGGAGGGCATGGCCCAGGAAGAGAGCGAAAGGCGCGTTTCCTCCACCCTTGTCGTTCAATGCAGAACTTACCCATAAGGGGAGGAAAAGGGAGGCCACCGCTGTGCCCAGAGTTGTCTCCTCACCAGCACTGATTGGCTGAGCCCTAGGACCCGCCCTCACCCTTTCTGATGTCTGTTTCTCCTCATATCCTCCACACTCCCAGAGCAGATTCTGCTCTTACCTTCCTCCCAAGGCTCCTTGGAAGGAGACAGAAAATTTTTCTAACCCCATTAAAGCCCTGTGTGCAGTTCCCTCCCCATAATTTAAGCAAGTCTCCTCTGCCTCAAGAGTTCCTTAGGGAAATAAACATATAATTATGTGCTTAAGGAAATCGCTTTTAAATAAGTACGAGTTGACTTCAAATGAAAAACTCTGCCCTTCTCCTTCTATCTACCTTGAGGGGTTAGCCAGGGACTCCATTTGTGCTCATTTATGCCCCCCAGAAGTTTCAGCGTTTTACCTCCCTTTATCGTGTATTTGTTCATACTCATTTATGCTCCCAGAAGTTTTACCCTCCCACTGCCCTTTCTCCTGTATTTGTCACCAATGAAAGTTCACACATCAGCCATGGCCCCTCCCTAGTACATCCTGCACTGACGCCAGGGACACACCTCCTCCATCTGAGAAGCACATCTGCATTTGCACCGGGCCAGGCTTCCTCATGCTCAACACTCCTAACATTTTTGAGCTGGGACTGGATAATTGGAGATGGGGAATCTATACCATAGGATGTTCAACAGTGTTGCCGGTTTGCACTCACTTGATGACAGTCACATGTTGTCAGGGTTCCCTGTCCTGCCTGATTCCCACAGTTGTTAAGTCCCAAAGAAATCACACAGAGGTCTACATTAGTTATACACTGATTGGCCCGTTAGCTCAGGCTTCTTATTAACTCTTATAACTTACATTAGCCCATTATTCTTGTCCATGTTCCCCACGTGACTCAGTACCTTATTCAGCGGGGCAGTCACATCTTGCTTCTTCTTGTGACTGGGCCAGGACCGCTTCCTCTTCCCAGAATTCTCCTGTTCCCCTTGACCTGCCTTTACTTTTTATCTGGTTGTCCTGCCTATACTTCCTGCCTGGCTACTGACCAATCAGCATTTATTTAAAATATAATTGACAGAATACAGACAATTGTCCCACAGCAGTCACCCACAACTCTCTGGCTATGACAACCAAAGATGCCCCTCAACATTGCCACATTTTCCCCATGGGAACAAAACCTGCCCTGGTAAGAACTGTTGCAACAGACCAACATGCAGGTCTCGTTCTCTCTGGAGCAGAGGAACAGATTGGAGTCTTATGTATACGTACACATCATAATAGGGGAACAGAGACCAATCACATACTTCCACCTTTCCAACCAGTGACTAGAAGTCAAGTTATTCCTGGGTTCTCAGCTCTCCATGGGCTTGTTTTCCAACCAGGTCATTAACGCCACTGACACTCTACATTCAGAAGGATTACATCCCCAGTGGGCTGCTGAGGAATGTAAATGAAACAGCTTCCCCCCTGTTCCTGGGATAAACATGACTGGCTTAGTCAGGGTTTCTAATGCCATGAAGAGACACCGTGACCACAGAAACTCTTATGAAGGAAAGCATTTAATGGGGGCTGGCTTACAGTTCAGAGGGTTAGTCCATTATTGTCACAGCAAAAAGCATGGCAGCATGCACGCAGACATAATGCAGGAGAGGTAGGTGAGAGTTCTGCTTCTGGATCTGAAGGCAGCAGGAGGAGAGAGCAGACACTGACTGGGCCTGGCTTGAGCTTCTGAAACCTCAAAGCCCACCCCCAGTGACACACTTCCTTCAACAAGGCCACACTTCCTAATAGCACCACTCCCTGTGGGCCTCTGGGAGATATTTCCATTCAAAACACCACAATAACCAAACACAACTTGGGAAGGAAAGGGTTTGTTTCATCCTGTACTTCCAAGTGAGAGTTCATCATCGTCTTTGTTACGGTTCCTGCTGCTATGGTGAAACACCATGACCAAAAGACAAGTTGAGAAGGAAAAGGTTTATGTGGCTTACACTTGCACATCTCTGTTCAGTATTGAAGGAAGTCAGGACGGGAACTTAAATGGGACAAGAACCTGGAAGCAGGAGCTCATGCAGAGGCCATGGAGGGATGCTGCTTACTGGCTTGCTCCCCATGACTTGCTCAGCCAGCTTTCTTATAGAACTGAGAACCTCTATCCCAAGGATGGCACCACCCACTATGGGCTGAGCCTTCCCCCATTTATCCCTAATTGAGAAAACGCCTTACAGCTGGATCTAATGGAGGCATTTCCTCAGCTGAGGCTCCTTCTTCTCTGTTGACTGTAGCTTGTGTCAGGTTGGCATACCACATCAGCCAGTATGAGGGAAGCCAAGGCAGGAATGGGAGCAGGACCTGAAGCAGGGATCATGAAAGATCTGCTTATGGACTTGCCTTCTAGGACTTTCTCGGCCTGCTTTCTTCCTTCCTTTCTTCCTTCCTTCCTTCCTTCCTTCCTTCCTTCCTTCCTTCCTTTATTTATTTACTCTTTAACCTTTTTGTTGGTTCTTTGTGGATTTCACATCATGCATCCTGATCCCGTTCATCTCCCCATGTCTTCGTATCTGCCCTCTGCCCTTGCAATCTCCCACACTCAATAAATAAATAAATAAATAAATAAATAAGATTTAAAGGAAAAATGTCTCGGCGCAGAAGCTGTAGTGTGACACAATGAGTGCCGTGCTTTAAACCACGCATCTTCACTTGCAAGTGTGCATTCAGTGAGTTGTTAATCTGCTTCGAGGCCTCTGGCTTCTGCTACACTACCTATACTAGACCCTCACTGGGACTTCTCTTGGCTGTCCTGTTGTTGCCTTGTGTCATGGAGATCCAGCTTTGGATCTGCAGGTCTGGCCCCTTCACACATTCCAGATCACAGATAAGGTGGATGTTGGGGTGAACTAACTCAGAGCCTTGGTTCTGGGCCTAGGTTGGTCATCCTGCCAGGTTTCCTTCATCATCACCACTAGGGTGAGCTCTCCAGCACTGCCCTGGCCAGCTCACCCAGTGCGGCAGGCATCAAGGAGCAGGGCCAGTTCTCCAGCTCCCACGCCATCAGGGCCAGCTCCTATGCCTCCACACCACCGGACCTAGCTCTACTGATTTACCCAGGTGAGATGCAGGGCCCACTCTCCCAAGTGCTGCAATTGGTGAGGGGTAGGGTGAGCTCTCCTGCTCTCATGCCCCTCCTCAGGACCACTCTCGTGCCTGCCGCAGGGAGGGGAGGGGTGAGCCTGCTTTCTTAGACAACCCAGGACCACCTGCCCAGGATGGCACTATCCACACTGAGCTGAGCTCTCCCACATCAACCAGCAGTGAAGAAAATGCCCCCACAGACATGCCCCCAGGCCAACCTGACAGAGGCTGTTCCTCCATTGAGGTCCATTCTTCCTAGGCTGACAAAAGGTAACCCCTGTGTTTTTAAAGTTCATTCATGTTTATTCCCCAGTACATGACAGGACTCTGCCGAACAGAGGATTTTCTGCTTGGAAACCTTTGTTCCTTGCTATCCTGGCTCTTCACTGACCACCTGGACCCTTCCCTGGGAAAATTGTTCAGATCCAGGAACAGCTTGCATGGAGACAGAAGGAAACCAACCACAAGCTTGTCTGAGAAGATTTCTCCCTAGCCTGGTTCTCCTGCCATCATTGCCCTTGCAGGATGCCCAAGACAGTGCACAAGACAAACCTACCCCTGCCCCCCACACTGCATCCAGCCCTAGATTGAAATGTTCGAAGGTGCTAAGGATGCGAAGCCCTGGTTTTGATGCGCTCATAGGTACCCCTTGAGCTTTCTGAGTTCAGAGTCCCAAGACTGCATGAAAGGCCTTGTGTCTCTGTTTCATACTGCAGAAGGGACTACAGTGGGGTCACAGGCCCATATGTACAGGCCCGTGAGCCTGTTCACACCTCCTGTGGAGTTAATAAACTCAGTCCCCTTTCCTACCCAGTCTGCCCCTCTCAGCCTACCCTATTATAGAGCGACACCTTACAAAGGGCAATTCACTGCTGACCTCCCCCTGCTGAAGAGGCCTGCTCCCCTGCACACCCTCCCACCTGCCCAACATTATCCCCAAAGTCGGTTTTCCTCAGAGAAATGATGGGCGTGTTCCCTGGGCCAGAGAGTGGCTCTAAACCGTAACTCCTCTCTCCGCGTGAACTACACCCGCTTGCCAGCCTTCAAGTCAAAGCTCCTGCTATCTATGGCTTATCATTCTTTGTGAGAGGGAAACTAATTTGGTCTCACAGGAATTTTTGTCACACAACAGTGACAGCTACCACTAATGCATTTCACAGTTTGTCACACCCGAACTTTGCTTGCTTGTATAAGCATAATTGCCGTCATTTATGAAGCACTTACCACGTAGCTGGTGGTTTACATACCTTGCTTTATGTAATTTTATCACTGCAACTCGGCAAGTCAAGCGATTTCTCTTTTCTATAGAAGGAACCGAGATAAAGGTGAATAATGTACCCAAAAAAAAAAAAAATCACACTTGCGCTAGAGTTACTTTTCCCATTATTGAGCCTGCTGACCTGACGTGAAACAACTTAAAAGAGGAAGGGTTTGCTTTGACTTCAGTTCAAAGGGATACAGTCTGTCAGTCACGGTGACAGCAGGAGTGACAAGTGGCTGGGCACTGAGAGAGGACATGAAGTGGGGCTCGGCTGCTGAACTCCAAGTTCCACCCCATGGACTCACCCTCTCCAGTTAGGCTCCACCTCCCAAAGGTTCAATGGCTTCCCAAAACAGCTCTCCCGACTGGGGGCCAAGTGTTCAAACCCATGAGATTACGGGTGGATACAGAATGGGAGAGAGGCATTTCACATTCAAACCATTTATACCAAAGGAGCTGGGCTGTAAATCCAAATCATCTGTCCCTCCAAAGTCCAGAGGTCGTGTTTCTTTCACCAAATACCCTCCTGACAAGACTCACCGTGATTCTAGGGACACAATAGAGTCTGTCTGTATTTCAGAGCTCAGCCCTGCTGATTGTCTGATCCACAGACCCCCCAAGGACCCATTTCTTCCTCCTCGGCAGCCGGAGAATAATCCTGCACCTAAACCGGAAGTCAATTGCACCTGAATTATGTGTTCTGCTTCACAGTGTGGCCTGGGGCCAGCAGGATTTCTCCGTGGTTTGTAGACACCTGCTGCCGAGGCTGACAACCTGAGTTCGAGTCTCTGGACCCTCATAGTGAAAGGAGAGAACCTGCCACCCCCACATGTTGTCCTTCGGCCTACACACACACACACACACACACACACACACACACACACAATAAAATTTTAACTGCAATTACAAACTAAGGATCAAATGCAGCCTGAGCATTGGACCAAATACCAGAAAACTGTTCTTGTCACATCTATTTATTCAGGGCATAGAGATGTCCTCACCCAGGGCGACAGTCCTGAGGCTTGTGTGACTGGCATGGAGCCCTCGAAAATGCCTTTTTTATGTTTGATGATTTATTGAAAATCCTGCTACTCTTTATGGTTTTGTTGTTTGACCCCTTAATGTATGCCAGGCACTGTGCCAAGTGCTTTGCAGACATTATCTCATTCACTCTGCGAAGGGAAATCGTATAAACCCCCATGCACAGAGTACTACCCCAGTAACCAATACACAGTGAGCACACCGACACCCTGAGAGTTTAATATTGTGCCCCGAGTCACCCCCTAGAACAAGACTGAAACCTAGAGTTAGCAATCAATCACCTTCCCTTCCGTAAAGCAAGAAGGGAGACCATTGTAATGAGACAACAGGAGTAGGACCTTGTGCAGAATTGAGGCATTTGGTCTCCCAGGGCCATCTGTGGTGCCCTCTGATCACAGGGTTTCAAGGACACTGCTGTCCAGCTAATGTCCACACTGCCCTCCCCCGTCATCTCTAACAGCCTTCTGCCTCAAGTATCAAAACTGGAGTCCCCTGTTGATTGAAAACTTATTTACATAAGCACATCCTCCATGGCAGCCTGCGTTTTTCTAGCCATTAAAGATTCAAGGCACACTTCTAAGAAAGCAGCATGCTTGTCCAAGCAAACAGAAATTTGAAAAACACTTTGGTGCACACCCATGCCTGAAACTGATGCCTTATTTGCCGCCTTGATAGCTGAGTCCTTTGTGCCAATAAATTGCTTAAATTGCTGCCACCACCCCTTCGCCCTATTTCTCCCTTGACTTATTCTGCCACCATGGATATGTGATCATGGAACAAATTAGCGACACCACCTCTGGAATTTCCAATGTGTGGCACCGAGTACGGCAAACAGCTCTGGGGTGTGACCCCTCCAGCGTCTCTAACGACCACACTCATCTTCATTACTCATAAACACTGAGTAGTGACTGTTGGGAATCCGCGGGGGCCCATGGGAAGTGGCAATGACTGCGGGCATCCCCAGGTGACACTGCTGATGTCCTCGGGTGTGTTGTCTACCTACTGGTCTCCCTTACCCCTATCCAGAGAAAATTCATTGATGTGCATGTTTTCTGCGACAGGGTATCACACCGTCGTGATCTCTAGATAGGGCTAAGTTCTCGGTAAAGCCACACTAGGACCCAGCCCACAGACAGAACCCTGCCATTCCTGATCATAACTCGTGGAGATCTAAAACATCCGATGGTTTTATGGAAGTTCAAGAATGCAGATTAAAATCTAAAAGTAGGGAAAGGCTCAAGGGACAGCGTCCGGGAGAGACCAGACACGCATTTCCAGTTGTCCTCTTCCAGGGGAGTCACATGGGCACACTTCTCCTAGCAACAATGTGTAGAAAAACATACAAAGTATTGCCAACCACAGATGCTCCCTTGAGCTTTGGTGAGCAGAGTTTTATTGGGGTCAGTCACGCAGGCACGCAGAATGTACATGACTGACCTTAGTCACTCGGTCTCCAGCCTCAGCAGAGGTCAAACTGAAGCGGCATGTCCCAAAGCAACTTAGATAAATTTAAAATTACAAAACAAAACAAGTGCTCACCATAAGTCACACTGTTGGCAGGAATCATCTGGCCAGCCTGAGGTCTCAGGTATACAGAAATACTCTTATCATGCAGAGTATTCCAAAGGTTAGATGTCCATCTCACAGGAGCTAAGCAAGGGAGGGACTGAAGATTTTTGGGATGTGTACACCAGGCACCTTAACTGCACACCATCAGATACTTAGTGTATTAATTACTTCTGTTAGTGTATAAAATACCATGACCGAAAGCTACTTAAGGGAGGGACAGTAACTTGGCTTACAGTCCCAGAGGTATGGAGTCCATCATGATGCAGAGACAAAACAAAGATGGCTGATCACATTCATCACACATGGAGACAGAGAACAGGAAGTGAAGCGAGGCTCCAAACCCTCAAAGCCCAACACCAGCGATGTTCCTCCAGCAAGACTGGAGGTCCCGTAACCTCCCTAAGCAGCACCACCAGCTGGGGATCAGCTGCTCAAGTACATGAGCCTATCAAACCCCCACATTCAGTGTTTCTCTCCATTTGATAATCTGGGCAGCTGTTGCTGTACTTTCCTTGGCTCTAACTAACCCCCAGCAGTCTCTGTTTACCCATCACCCCTCAGGAAAAGGTTCCCAACACCCATGCCCATGTCCATACTTCCAAAGCATCCGCCCATATTTACCTATGATAGTCATTCAATAGCTTCATCTCTCGCGTGTGATATCTCTCTCTCTCTCTCTCTCTCTCTCTCTCTCTCTCTCTCTCTCTCTCTCTCTCTCCCAGAGACTAAGGACTTCTTTGCCCATACTTCTAACACTTGGCACGATACCCATCACATAGCTATACAATTAGCATAGAGTAACTGATAAACCAATATGCTGTCATGTTAATGAAAGATAGAAAAGAATTAATCTAAGGGATGGATAATTTGGTGAAGGATTGCATGACAAAGATACTCTTAAGTATAAACACAAAAATGGAAGTATGCAGTGTACTGATACTTAAGCAATGCTACAGCTATTAAAAACATAAGAAGAGTAAGCCTGCTTTAAAAAAATATATATGTTTGATTGAATCTTTCAAAGAGATGTGGTTGTATAACCTGGAGAGACAAGTGTTGAATGTCGTTAAACATACTAAGGTTATGTGCCGAGTGCAAAGTCCATTTAGGGAGGCTTGGATGAAGAAGACGAACAGGACGTTGTGTATCCTCCGGGGAAGGAAAGATAAAAGACATCAAAGGTCATGGAAGAAGTAAAATCCCCATCCAGTGGGAAGTAGAGGATCCATGGTTAGGTTAAGCTAGTAAAAGAACAGCAGAAATTCTTGCTCCACAGTGTGGACTCACCATGGGATTCTGAGCAGAGGACACGTCACTGGGCTCCATTTTTCTCAAGTTCCGTTCTGACAGAATGGCCCCATGACTGAGTAGCTGTGCAGTGCTTCTGATTTAACTTTGTCAAAGGGAGACGAGGCCGCACGCCACTGGTGTCTGAGGCTTCTCAGAGGATGAGAGTTGAGTAAGAACCCGCTTTCTCCTCTTGCTGGAAGTTAATGATGGTAATGCTTCGCCGAAGGAAGTGGAAGGGTTGTTAAGTCGGAGAGCTCACCCTCTGGGCTCGCAGGTTATGATTTTTTAATGCTTTCGAATGGGAAAAGAACTCAAGTGAGTGTCATCCCTGTGTGCTGGAAATATGCCTTTCTCGTGGTGGCTGGCTCAGGCTCCTGCAAGCCCGCTGCTTTGCCAGGTTCTCTGAAGTCAGGTTTTAAATCAAACTATTGTCATATTCCAGTTGATAAGTCTCACATGTCTTCAGGAGCACCCGGCCCTGGGGCTTCACTCTGCCCAACATTCCAGTATTTCTCCCTGTGGCCCCAAGGCCAAGAAGACTCCTGAACATTCCAGCCTTCTGCCTCAGTTGTCCCCCATACTCGTCAGCACTGCATGCTGTTACGTCTGCCCCTTAATTCAAGCCTGTTTTCTCCTTCGAATAATGGCCAATTTGTCAGTTAAGGGAGCAAGCCAGACATTTTTCTGTATATTTTTCCATAGGCAGATGAAACATCCTGAAGACTCCCTTGTTGGGAGTATGCAGGGTCCTTAGAGGAATCCACATGGCTGCAAGTGCCAGAACACCTGGATCTAGGACCCTCATGCCTCTACCTGGCCCCCTTCAGCTGGGAGCCTAGAAATGGCAGCGTAGGCACCCGTAGAGCCCTGTCCCCATCCTCATGTTGAGTATAAACCTTCAGAACTCAAGGTACACCTAGACAATAGGGTGGCCCAGGTCCCCCTGCTGAGCTCTTCTGTCCTGTGAGATCCCAAGTCTCTCCTGGTGCATGTGTTCAAGAGCCTGTGGGGAAAAGGGGGAGGCCAGGGATGGATAAGGACCTGCAATTCCACTGAGGAGTCAGGTCCCAGCCTTGGTAGTGACCCTCACCCCACTTCAACCCTCTTCTGTTGATTTAATAGAGTGGAAGCCACAGAAGATGTCAAGGGGAATACCAGATGGGGCTATCAGAAAGGACTTAATATAATACAAATTAAAACAACTGTTATATGATTTTATATACAGCAGTGCTGGACATATACCCAATCTCAAACTAAATCTGGCAACGCTGTGGGAAATTCAAACTCTCAAGGTGCTGATGATGTATGATTTAATACAGTATCCTTGGAGGGTGAGTTCACCCCAGAACATAACATATAGACATATAGACATATATGCATGTACATATATCCAACCACTACATATATATTTATGGACAAACTGCATTTGAGCAACTTAGAAACACATTGGAGGCTGTCCATTTATTTATTTACTCAATATATTTACTGGACTGTTGTTATATGCCAGACACGAGTCCAGGAACTTAAAAATTGAGCATGTGCAAACCCCAAGACTATCCACCTTGGCAAAGTGTATACCCACCATCGTTTAAATGGTCCCAAACTTCAAACAACCTAAAAGACACTCTTGAAAGAGTGGGAGAGCCGTGCCCTGCCATACTGCAACAGCAACGAACATGTGTTCTGGGGTCCAGGCTGGGTGTGCAGGAAAGAAACTTGTGCACTATTAGATAAAGAATAAAAACAGTCCTGTAGATACTTTATGGAGACACACATATAAAAATAAGTCATTTGGAGGCCCCCCAAACTCGGAATCGTGGCTGAACCCAGAAAGAGAGGAGGGAAAAGATCAGCGAAGTTACTTTATTTCTTAAACATCTACAACAAATAGATACGTGAAGTTAGCTCTGTATGTACTTATATTGCATGTTAAGCACATAAATGTTTATCAATGTGGGTCCGTTTTCCTTCAAGACGGGTACGTTTTTGCTTTTATCATTATTGTTGTTTTGTTTTGCTTTGTGGTTGGTTAGGCCCCCATTTCTGGGCCATCTATAAACTGAAGTCTATCCTGTGCACTGCCGGGATCTTTCTAACAGGAGAGCAGGAGGCTGCCCAGGCAAGGTGCCTGACGCCCCCTGGCGGCACAGACCAGACCCGCAGCTCGTAGGGGTGCACGTGGAGTTCTGAAAATGCTAAACTAGTTTAGGTCTGGGAATTTGTTCAACCACTTTAAAGACCAATGTGCCATTATCTAGCACAGTTGGGAAGGCATGTCCTATTTATTATTCAGGAATGCTGTTTTTAAAGGTTTACCCTAGAGAAACTCAAGCACGAACGCAAGGACATGTGTGCAAATGCCCTTGCAGCTTTGTCTACGATGGCCAGAACTGAAAAGGGCGCCATTATCCACAACCCGGAGAACATGTGAGTTGGACATCCACACGCAGTAAAATCCTCTCACCATGGCAAATGACAACAGAAAACCACATGTGTCCGTCACATGTCACTACCCGTGGGGGAGCCCTGCTGGACCAGAGTTGCAGCCCGCCATGGAGGGACAACTCTTTCCGAGCTCAGCGCAAGACGGTAGTCTTCCCCCAGGATGGGCTTCCCACTCTCTGCCTGACCCTGTGTGGAGACTGGTCCTGAGCCTGGATACCAGCTTTGCCTCAGGCGTGACCCTTGACACAGTTCCCCGCATGCACTCCCCTCTGCTGCTGAATTAGGCTGTGCTCTGGCTGTTCTGATAGGAGCCTGCTGTTTAATGAAACCAGGTGATGCTCCAGCCACAGTTCTCATCCTCCGTGTCTCCTCGCTCTGAAATAAAAGTTGAGCTGTCTTCCCGAAGCCGGCTCCTGGAAAGCTGTATCTGCGGTACTCACAGGCTGTACCTAGCCCTGCACGCTGCCTCTGGTCCCTTTGTCCTCCAGGCCTGGTGGCCAACTGGCCATGAGGAAAAAGGAGACCCCACAACAACCCACGCTGAGGAAAAGGGGGAGCCTTGGAGTCTTCCCTCTCTCAAGCACCAATTACAGAAAATTGCAGGTAGGCCAGACACCATTGTGGGTGGACACACACACACACACACACACACACACACACACGTCATGACTGCAAAAACAGATATGAGAAGAATAAATACCAGATACATGTGGGAGTGGAGAACCACATGGGCCCTTGGCTGAAACATGGACTTTATTGCTTGAAGAGAAAGAAGAAACAAGCTTAACTACAGTAACCCCAGAACTCAGGAGGCGGAGTGGACCACTGGGAAACTGAGGCCAGCCTGGGCTACCTTGCAGAAATGGTGAAGAAAGAAGGGAGGCAAGTATCGAGGAAGAAAGAACTGCCCAAAGTAAATGTAACCAAAATTTACAATTAAATAGCTGGAGGGTGGAGGCCTAGACACTCCTTGTAGTCTTCTACTGTTTTATTATCTAATGTTTTCATTTATCGTTTGCTGTGGAGGAAGAGATGGTGGATGGGGTGGGGGTGAGACCCATGCAAATGAAAGCTACAAGGAAGTGTGGCTTGAGAGACAAGACCCATGGAGAAGGGGTGTGGCCTCAGGGAGGCGGGAAGCAGTGCTGCAGGATGCCGGAAAGGGGGGTGCAGGGGTGGGATGGAGGCACTGTTCTCAGTGTAATGCAGAGACCTCGGGGCTTTAGGCGGAGGAGCCCTTATGTTGGTCTGTTGGCACTATGGGTGGGTCACTTTTCTGCGTGTGAGTGGGGGAAGCAGACTGAGAGCAAGGTGAGGGGACACACGAAGGTTTCTTTATAGTAATGGGTGCAGAAGGCTGGAACCCCAGTCGTGGTGCCTGGACATGTATCTGTGGCATCCTCTGAAAAAGGAATCCATGGAACTTGGCCGGAGATTTGATGTGGAGCATGTCTCAGGTTTTATTTAAGCAGTAGGCAGAGAGGCCCTGAGAGAAGAAAAGGTAGTTGAAGAAAGGCAGTAAAAAGGGTGGGTCAGTGGATGCTTCCCAGGATGAGGAATTTCATCTCATTGTTTTTCAGCCGCAAAAGTGGAGGGACAGAGCTGGCAATTGTGTGTCCAGTTCAGAAGTCCGTGGGAAAGGTCAAGCAGGGTCAAGAGGTATAAATTTAGGTGTCACCGGTGTATTCTTCAGAGCCATGCCATCGGACAGACGGTATAAATAAAAAAAAAAAAAAAAAAGAAGGCTGGGACCAAACTCCAAGCACCCCACCATTTAAGAGTAGGGAAAAGAGAACCCAGCAAAAAGACTTAACGAGGCAGAAGAACAAATGGGGCTGTTGGGGGCCATGAGAGATGCCAAGCCAAGAGTCTGCTTCAAGTTGGAAGCCCTGTTCAACTGTTGAAAATGCTGCTGCATAGCCAAATAAACAGAGCCAGGCAGAGAGTCTCCCCCTCCCCTTGGAGCTGCCAGTACGGGAGTCTTTGTGGCTTTGATGAAGCATTTCAGTAGAGTGGGGGCGCTTCAGGAGCAAGGAGGCCAGGGGGCCTGTGATTGACAAGGGAGAGGACTGAAGGGTGTGTCTCTTGAGAAGCTTAACTCTGAGGAAAGGAGGACAATGGGGTGAGCACTAGGGACAAGGACATAAAGGAGGAGATTATTTAGGATGTTTGTCTGCATCCATATGCAGAGGGAAAAGAACACAGGAGGGAGAGGAAAGGGAGCAGTGGACGAGTGGATGCAAGAGGGACTCAGAGAAAAGGAAGGAGGCTGGAGTCCAAGCCCCACAGCTCACTAGCCTGAGCTGGGATGCTCACTCTGTTCCATCCGCTCCAGGTCTCAAGCTGTTCCCCCGACAGTCATTACCTCTCCTATTGTTTGCCTGCTCATGGGTGTCACCAGCTCCCGGGGTTCAGTGTGCTAAATCTTCCACTGCCATCTCCTCTGAATACACAAGTCTTACAGTCTTCCTCGCCCTATCTAGGTTGTGCATCTACCCGGGGACCTGGAGTGGAAAATAAGCAAACTGAAGAAAATTAATTCTGGACTATTTTATACATTCTGTATAAATGCATGAAATAGATTATGTTTGACAGCGGTAAACAGAGAAGCCAAAAAAATCCAATTTATCACTTTAATTATATATGCTTTTCTTTCTCGATCTCCAGAGAAGAATGAGCCTCCAGCAGTATTCAGCCCCTTCTATGAAGCCAGTCCCAAATTATTAACACTGATCTTAGTAACCGCGTGTTCTTCGTGACAGGTGTCCTATCTGAAGCACACAGGCGATGCTTAGCATGCTACCTGCGGAGGTGCACATGAGGAGGGGCAGAAAGGGTGCGCAAAGGAAAAGTGAGGAACACGGAGATGTGAGTCCAAAGAGCTGCACAGGCAAAGTTCAAGTCCACTCCAAACAGGCACACTCCTACTTTAGTGACGGCAGCCTCACCCCCCCAAGCCCCAACAATTTAGCAGCCATCCACACTGTCCCTATGCAGAAACAGGAGCACAAAGAGGGGTCTCTATGTTAGCCGTTGTTTTGCTTTGGTGAACACAAATTCCGCCAGACGTCGAGGCGCACAAGGACCAGGACACACCTGGTATGTGCCTTCTGGAAACACACAGGCCTGAAGGAGAATGAACGCCAGAGGCGGTTGTACTAACAGATGTAGGTGCCAATTGCTAAGGTGGGTTATACACGCGCCCAGCACAGGCAGTGGTGAGGACAGGAAGAGGTCTCTAGAGAGACAGAACAAATACAATGAATGGACAGTACAAAGGGGATTTATTAGATTATAGTGTCTGGTGTGTTTGTGACAGCATTTTCGCTGGCTCATTTGCATTTTGATTATAGCCAAAATCAAGGCACTGAATTCCTGACTTTCGAATTGGGATAAGCGGCCCTGTTAGCTCACACCAAAAATTTTAGGAGAGAACCAGGTGAGGAAGTATATTACTTTTCTCATTGTGGTGACGACATACATCACAAAAGCAACTTAGTGAAGGGAAGGTCTGTTTGGGCTCTTGGTTTGAGGACACAAGCCATCGCAGCAAGGAAAACATGGCTGCGGAGGGCTGAGGTTGCCGATCACACTTGTCTGCCGTCAGAACCATAGAAGTTTCCTGCTCCCACGCACTTCCTCAGGCTGAACCCAAGACCCTGGGACGGTGCTGCCAACTTTCAATGTGGATATCCTTCTTCGGCTAATGTTTGGGGGAACACCCTCAGAGACACACCCGTACGCAGATAGAAATCTTGCCGTGGTGATTCTAAATCCAGTTCAGTTGACAGTGAAGACTAACCAGGAAGAAAGAATTCAGTCTCTATAGGTTGAGTCAAATACCTGCATGCAGCTCTACAGAAGTAGCCGGACACTCATATCTGACATTTGGTTAGACCTGGGACTAGAAAGACACGGTGGGGAGTCCCTGGACCACAGATAGTAATCTAATCTGTGGCGTAGGTGAGACTGCTTGGAGAACACAAAACAGAAGGAAAACGGACCTGTGACCATAGTCTGCACAGCTCTTTCAAAACCTCTAGAGGAGGGAGGCTGTGCCTGCAGGGGATGGTGGGAAAGTTCCCTACAGAGATGGGAGACAAGTGAGAAAACCATTGTGTCCTGGTATTAAAGAAGGGAGCAACAATGAATGGGAACAATGTTGATGTTCCCTATAATGACATGAGATCAAGGCTGATGACTTGGTAGACTGGTGATGTGTGTGATGGAGGCCAGAGACAGACAGACAGGCTGGGTTGAGTTGACAGGAAGGCAGCAAGGACACCTAAGGGTTTCCCAAACATGTTTGCTCTGTGGCACATAAGACTGTCTTTTTTTTTTAAATGTTTATTTTTTTTATTTATTATGTATACAATATTCTGTCTGTGTGTATGCCTGCAGGCCAGAAGAGGGCACCAGACCCCATTACAGATGGTTGTGAGCCACCATGTGGTTGCTGGGAATTGAACTCAGGACCTTTGGAAGAGCAGGCAATGCTCTTAACCTCTGAGCCATCTCTCCAGCCCCAAGGCTGTCTTTTTAAAGTGTTTTTCCCTTTATTTAGTGTGGGTGTGTGTGTAGGTGTTTTGCCTACATGTTTGACTATGCACCGTATGCATTCAGCACCCATGGAAGCCATTAAAGGGCATTGAATCCTCAGAAACTGTAGTTACAAATGGTTATAGGCTGTCATATGGATGTTGGGAATAGAATCAAAGTTCTGGAAGACTAGCCAGTGCTCATCACCGCTGAGCCATCTCTCTAGCCCCAAGATTATCTGTAGCACGAATAATAAAAACCCAGAGACAGATATTGGGGTTCAAGTTGAAGATCAGAAAAGCAAAGAAGCAAAAAGGTCTCCACTAGAGAGACCTTTTACCTCTACCAAATCTTTAGATCAAAGGGGTGAGATCCTGTCTCCACGAATCCTCAGACTCCACACTCCAGTGAGTTTCTGTCTCTTCCCCTTTATATTCCTCTCTCCGCCCAGCCATATCACTCCTGTCTCCACCTCGCTAGTTTTGGGATTAAAGGTGTGAGTCACCATCATCTGGATTTGTTTCTAAATCGGTCTTGGATAACCCAGGGTAGCCTCAAACTCACAGAGATCAATCTGCCTCTGTCTTCTAAGTCCTGGGGGATTAAATGTGTGAGCCACAAGTCCCTGGCCTATAGTAGCTTAGCTTTGCACTCTGATATTCAGGCAAGCTTTATTTATTAAAATACAAATAAAATATCACTAATAAATATAAAAATATAAAAATATCACAAATAAATGACGTTTAAATATAACGTTTAGTAACTGAGTAAAGCTGACCACAGCTAGAAACATGGCCTTACCTAAATGCTCTGAGGACTGAGAGGACCTGGAGCTTATAACACCTATAGCCATTTGAGGCATCCAGACGCAGAATGGCTATGTATGTCTGGGGTGTCACAAATATGACAACAAAGGAAGGGGCAGCTGGCTTGTCTGGAGTGCCCTTCGGGTGAAGAAAACATGAGCATCTTTCAAAAGCATCTAGTGAAAAAATCCAGTTGAGATGGCATGACTGAATTCAGGAGAGGCAAAAGGTAGAGTATCCTTGGGCGTGTATGGCTCC